TAGTATTGTTAGTAATAGTAGTTTTAGTAGTATTAATAGTAGTATTAGTAGTAGTAGTTTTACTAGTATTATTAGTATACTAATAATAATTATTATTGTTAGTAGTAGTAGTATCAATATTGTTAGTAGTATTAGTATTAATAGTATTGTTAATAGTAGTAGTAATAGTAGTTTTAGTATTATTAGTAGTGGTACTGTTCGTAGTATTAGTATTATTATTATTATTAGTAGTAGTAGTAGTAGTAGTAGTAGTAGAATTAGTAGTAGTATTAGTAGTAGTATTGTTATTATTATTATTAGTAGTAATAGTATTACAATTAGTGTCATTATTTCTTTATTTTAAATATTATAAATGATATTTTACACAACAGCTAAATGCTGACTTTGATCATCAAAATATCTGAGTATAAAATCATGAAAAGATCGATTATATTTGGGATTGGCACAGAAAGTAACTGAGTGAAATCTGTGACTTTCTGCTTGGGTGATTTTGCTGGATTTTCCAGATGTGTGTTGTGTTTCACCCAAATTTATTTATTTTATTGAAAGGTTTTTTGCTGACCTCTGACCTCCAGTGTGGAGTGTCTGTCAGTGCGCTGTTCTTTCTGGTGTAAATATTAGCCGAGCGCTGGACTCTGAACTGCAGTGACTGGAGTCTCTCCAACACAAGCGCAGCAGTCTGTGTGTGTGTGCCGTTTATTTTCATACACCGTTAATTTGTCAACAGCCCTTCCTGTCCATCTGACACACACACATTGCAGAAAACTCTCCTCAACATATTCACTGGCAAATTACACGTGTTGCTGCTGTAATTATTGCTGGAGATATTTGCGATGTGTGTGTGTGTGTGTGTGTGAGGGGGTGTGTTTTCTCCTCTCTGCTGCTGCTGCTCAAGTGTTTTGATGGATGCAAAGGAATTTCATGTATCAATATTGGGCTTGTCAAACAGTCCATTATGTTGGAGCTGAGGCACAGAAATCTATCAGAAATGGTCCGAGGGCAATAAACGTTTTCCAGCAGCCCATCGCTTCACACAAATCAGCCCTGAGATGCAAACGGCCGTCTATTTATTAAATCGCCCTCAGAGGAGTTTACACTTGTGCACAGAGCAGCAAAAGGCAATACACACGCACATACACACAAATACATACATGTACACACTCACACATACACATTTACTGTACATGCATATGCACAAACTTATATGCACACATACACACAAACAAATACATGTACACACATATTTACTGTACACGCATATGCACACACACACACTTATATGCATACATACACACAAATACATGTACACAGAATTACTGTACACACATATGCGAGCACACACACACATGCATACATACATGCATGCATACACATAAATACATGTACACACTCGCACAAACACATATGCTGTACATGCATGCATACACACACATTCAAATGTACACACACACACACACACACATACATGTACACACTTACACAGACACATTTACTGTACACACAAGCACACAAACACATGCATGTGTACACACACACACACACACATTATACATTCACACACACACACACACACACACACACACGTATAAATACACACACTCACACACACACAAACATTTACTGTTCACACATGCACAGACACTCACATGCACACACACACACTCATACAAACAAACACATGCATGCGCACACACAAACCTGCATGTACTGTACATACACACTCATTTACAAACAAATGCATGTTCACACACAAATCTGCATGTACACACACACACGCACTCATATACAAACAAAAGCATATGTACACACACACACAAACATTTACTGTACACACATGCACACTCACATGCATACATACACACACACACAAATACGTTCACACACATTTACTGTACACATACACACACACTTTCAGTACATGCATAAATGCAAATACATGTACACACACACAAACACATTTACTGTACACATATGCACACAAGTGCATGCATACACATACACACACACACACACTCATACAAACACATGCATGCACACACACAAACCTGCATGTACACACACACTCATTTACAAACAAATGCATGTTCACACACAAATCTGCATGTATACACACACACACAAACACATGCACACTCAAACATCCACACAGACATGCATGTAAAAAAATAAATAAATAAAATACACATATAATAACACACACATCCACTTACACACACACACACACACACACACACAGGGGGGGTTCCGGCATTGCTCTTTGGACCCGGGTTTATGAGAATAGACTGTGCCAGCTTCAGTGGTGTGTGTGTGTGCTCTTATCACTTCTCATTAGTGGATCATTGGGAGCGTCGTTCTCTGCCAGCCGTTAATCAATGTGTTTTGTGACTCTGTTAGGGCAGCTGTACGGAGATATTGTGCCTCTAGGGTTAATTCAGGAATAAACCGCTCCGGCCAGGTCTCAGCCTCCGCAGTGTCTGGAAATGAGCCCCATACATATGCATTCACACTTGCATAAATTGGGATTGATGTCATCAGAGAAGTGGGGCTTTTTTTTAGGTAGTGCCATCGTCCGCGGTCAGTGTTTCTTCTATTTTTTTTTTTGCGCTGTGAGTTGTTGTAAATTATGCAGACTGACAGGCGCAGTGAGGAAGGGATTATTCCTGAATAAGTTCAAACACCTCACTGTTTTTTTTTTTTTCTCTTGCTTTTTAGGTTAAACAGAGGAGAAAGAGACTGATGGGAAGACAGAGAGAAGAAAGTAATGGTCAGTTTTTTGTAATGGTCATGTGTTTTGAAAGATATTATAATATGCTTTAATATTATATATAACTTATTAGTGATGGAATCATACTTGGAATTAATAAAACAGATATATATTTAGTGTTCTTGATATATGAGGAAGATAGATAGATAGATAGATAGATAGATAGATAGATAGATAGATAGATAGATAGATAGATAGATAGATAGATAGATAGATAGATAGATGGCATGAATCTTATTTTAAATAAACAAAATTGCTTTTATAAAATCTTAAATATGAGTAATAATTATAATTGTGCAGTTTAAAATATTGCATTTGATTTTATAACATAATTGCAGGCTGTCCACTGAGTCTTAGAGTAAATGCCTTAAAAAGGCTTAAATTCACTGAAATATTTTGTTGTAGGTATTAGATTATTTTAATCAAGTCTTATTTCTCCTATGTCCAAGTAAACCTATCCCATCAGGCCGACACCAGACAATTGCTTTATATTTAAGATTTTATTGCAAAGAGATACAATTCAAAACGGCTGTTAGACATGTTTACCGGACATTCTCCAAATTAAATTGCCTAATCAGGGAATGAAAACTAAAGCAACACATCCCAACATGATCTTCCATTAACACAAAAACTATTTACCAAAGTAACCAGCCCATTAGAAAAAATCCTTAGTGTTTAGCTCTGTAAAAGTCTAACATTTCATTCACAAGGGTCTTAAAAGAGTCTTAAGTTTGACCTGAAGAAACTCTGAATTACTCACAATACCGTTTAAATTTAAAATATACTAAATTATTTTACAATATATCAAACTACTTTAAACAATTTGTATTTTTATATTTATTTGTGATAGAATTTACATAGATTTTATTTTCTATTATTTAAAAAAATATATATTTGTATTTTTTATTTATTTATCTATATCTAGCCGTTAACCAAGGTGTTTTGTGAGTCTGTTAAGGCAGCTGTACAGAGGTATTGTGCCTCTAGGGGTAATTCTGGAATCTATACAGTATAGATATATAGCATCTATATTAGTTATTATCCATTCATCTATACTTTTTCAAACTGTTCTTTCTGTCTGTCTGTCTGTCTGTCTGTCTGTCTGTCTGTCTGTCTGTCTGTCTGTCTGTCTATCTATCTATCTATCTATCCATCCATCTTCCTCATATTTCAACAATGACAAATATGTTTTATAAATTCCAAGAATTGTACCATCACTTATAATAAGTTGTATATAATATTAAATCATGTTAACTTAAAATTATAACAATATAAAACTAAATCCGCTATATAATTTTAAATTGACTATTTCCCCATCTAAGAAATAATTAAGATTGCATAATTGTTTGTTGTAGATATAACTATATAACTATATATAGTTGTATAACTATAACTGACTATGTAGAAATGAATTGTTCTAGTAGTATGAATGTGAACTTCTGTGTTTAAGAGGCAGCTTTTAAATGTCTCCAAAAAAAAACCTGGTGTTCTGGCATTCAGGAAACCCTTGTGGCAGCAGGGATTTCCTGCGAGCGGATCGGGAGGACGGCGGCCCATATTGCACCACAGGAAGATGTGTGCCCGACTCCAGCAGCAGAGGTCAAGGTGAGGGTCAGATTTACAGCAGCCCGTTCCCAGCCTTCATCCACGTCCTGCGGAAATCAGCCATAAAGACGCCGTTTTCATCTCTCAAGGTTCTGTCATAAACCCGCAGCATTCGCCGGCTTTTTTTTTTTGAGAGTAAAAAAGAATGACGAATACATATAAAACCGCGCAACAATATCCTACTGTAGTCCTTTCATCTCGAGTTAACCTTTCCGACACGGACCACCCCATTGTTTCACGCAGGCAAAAACACTGCTGCTTCACGCTACCGTCAGCTCACAGATATTACTGACTTTTTAATATCTTGGTCTAATGCATAAAGAAAACATACAAAATATACTTTAAAGTCTTTCTTACATACTTTATCAGTTTATCTTTGTGTAGAATTTATGTATAATACATGTTTTTAAAGCTGGCTTTCTTTAAAGGAGCTTTTTTACTCTTGCATTGAGCCAGAAATCTCCACTTTAGCAGATTTACACCAAACTTTAGCTACATTTTGTTAATTTCTGTGCTCTGAAGGTTTTTACAGAGTGTTATGTTCATACATAATTTGACTTTTTATTATTATTATTATTTTTATTATTATTTTAAAATCATTTTACAATATAACAAACAGCACAATTGACAAAAAGAATATTCAGCATTAAGTAGCATCAGAGTATACAAATATACATCATGTACATCAACAAATCCAGTTTATGTTGCTAGATTAAAACAATAATCAAATAACGCCTTGTGAATGGTCAGTGTGATAACAATCAGTATTAATATGTAGGCACAGGTCATAAAGGGTTCATAAAGGGTCTATAAAAATATTCCAGGTTTCTAAAAATATGTGTTTTGTGTTTAAGCTATATATTAAATATTCCAAATGCTCTGTGATTTATTTATGATATGTTCAAATAATTCAAATGTTGGAGGGAGTTCATGTTTCCAGTTTAACAGAATACAATTCCTAGATGCATAAGAAAATAGACCTACCCTATTTGATAAAAAAAGGGTCCGATACCTCATTCAAGTCCACCCCTAAAAGATATATTAAAGGAGTCTTGTGATATTTCTTTCCCAGGACCATCACAGAAAACTCATGTACAGAATCCCAAAACATTTAGTTTTTTACAGTTCCCAAAAATATGCATAATGGTGCCCTTGTGTTTCTTACATCAGTTACATAAAGGCAATGCACCGGGATATATCCTACTGAGGTGAACTGGGGTCAAATATATTGTTTGTATGAATTTGTTCAATTATTTTGTTGCTAGAAAATTGTATACAACATCCCACTGACCATCATCAAAATTACCACCAAGGTCTTTTTCCCATGTGTTTTCAGTGAGATTAAAGAAGAATCAGCTTGGGCTCTTAAGATTGCATATAGTGTATCTCAGATATCTTTTCCTTTAACATTGAAGTATTCTCTAGAATGTTTTCTAATTTAGATAATTCCACTGAAATGTAACCATTTGCAAGGAAATCATTTATCAGGTATCTACGTTTTAGGTACATGTAAAAATCTTTATTGTCAATATCAAACTCACTTTTTAATTCAGAAAAAGATTTAAGTGTGCCCTCTTTAAAAACATGCTTTAAAGAGACAATGCCTTGCTCCTTCGACTTTGTTATTTTAAACTAAAGAAGAGCATTTGTTTGTAGCATTTCCTGAATTATGGAGTGATATTAGGAGATTTTCCAAAATCACCTCTATAAAATTTTGGACACTTCATATGTCAAAAAATAATGTATATTTTTATGCTTAAAATATAATATGCAAATCAGCCCATATTTAATTAAGCAATACCTTGTGTGCATATTTAAATATGCATTCTTAAAATGCAAGGCTGATTCAGTTTAGTATTGGGTCACGTATGGACAAACTATTTTTTCTATTAAATCTTTAACCCAACATTAATGTTTGTCCATAATAGACCCAAACGTTTTATTTAGAGACTAGCATTATAAAAAACAAACTTAAAGTGTTTACATTTTACATATTGCATACAAACTCTAAGTATCAATTTCCACTATTAACTACTGGCTTATTACCTGCCTAATATTGCGATATTGACTGTTTATTAGCACTTATAAAGTATGATCTTATTCTACATCCCTAAAACTACTCGATATCTAAACCCAACTACCTTTATAACTATTAATTAGCAGCTAATTTGTAGTTTATTGAGCTAAAAGTCATAGTTAATATCAAGTATTATATCTTAAAATAAAGTGTACCCCCCAAAAAAATGCAATCAAATCAACAGCTAGAAGCATGGTGATATTTGTTAGTTAATTTTTTTTACCCTATTCACCTGCCTTAAAGATGCCAGCGATCAGAGAGTGGGGAAAAAAGTTGCACATTTTTTCCGAAATGTGCAAGGCTGCTCTCTGAGGTCCATTTCATTTTAACCAAATGGGGGGGAAGCTTGTCTTTACGGCGGTGAGCAGATGGAACTATAAATCACGGCAGCCGCTGCCGCCCTGTAGAGGCCGAGCACAGCTGCCACTCTCCCCGAAAATCTCTTCAGGTCCATCGTCAGGCAATCTGGGCTGCTTTTTTTTCCTTTTCATATATATATCCAGCACACCTCCCCTCTCAGTACAGTCATATCCATCAAAACGCCGCGCGCCCATCAGCCCACCGCCGCCATCGATTGGCACACTTATTTCTGCGCATAAGCAATGCCCCGTGCTGGAGCTCAAGCCCCACGACAGGCCCCTCATTTGGGCTCTTTAGCCCCCAGCAAGCACTGCGACTCCAGGCCAGGCCTCCTCCATTAAACTTGCATTATGATGGATATCAAGGCGTCTGAGGGCTGAGCGTTTTAAACCAGAGGTGACAAGAAACCAAACACAGCCTATTGTTTTTCCATGCGTGCGCCTAACACCCCCCTATCATCATCATCATCATCATCGTCGTCGTCCAGGTTTAACATATCGGCAGTTTTGCTAGGTAAATAGACTCAATAATCTGTGCATAACTCAGAAGGAGACGCTGCTGGCTGTGTTTCCGTCTGTGGGCAGATGGTGGCGCTCTAATGCCATAGATATCACAGCTCAGGTTTTAAGACTGAAAGTGTAGGAGAGAGAAATGGAGGCACTTACCAATATGTTTCTACTTTTGTTTTACTCTTTAAATGTTTGCAACATGACTGGAGCTGAACTTAAAGTAAATACTGTTCAGTTGTTTTAGGTTTAGAATCTGGCGTTAGTCTGATGATCATCATATTGTAATTTAGTATGGATTGCTTTTAGAGTTCCTGAAAGACGACAGTGCTGGAATGATTGTATTAGTATCTGCTAATATGATTTGTAACAGTGGTCTTGCAGTATATGAAAGGTTTTATTTTTATGTTTCAACATAATAAATGTCAGTTTTTATAATAAGTATTAATAAATTAAATTAAAAGTCATTGGTATGAATATACTTATATAAACACTTATATTTGTCGTAGATAATATTTAATGAAAGAATATAAGTATTTTTTATGTTTATATAGTTAAAATTGTTATTATTCATTTATAAAGCACATTAATTGTTCAGAAGATAAAATTGGGACTGGTTATAATTTAATGTAATATTAGTGTTATTTTCGACATGAGTGAATTATAACGTTCTATACAGGTTATTTTATTTATTTATTTTTGTTTACTTTAAATGTTTTGAAGGTTTTTTTTTTCTATTCCATCATGCATTATTTTATTTGATCATGTAGACTTCAAGAGATTTGCCACTTGGCAAAGGACAGTCATTATTATTAACATTTAATCAATAAGTCAGCCAACCAAACAGCAAATTAATATGCGAATGCAAAACGACAGTCTTAAACATCCCATCAGTTTTAAACATCTTTTTTTTATATATAAATGTGTAACTTCCTAAAGAATAACATTAAAAAAAAAAAAACAACCAAAACAAAACATGCCAGTCTTGTTTTGTCCAGCAATACTGGAGCCGAAAACGAATATTAGCTGTTTTTATAAGGCTGAAGTTTGGGGTTTTGAGCGGGAACGGCTGGGGCTGATGGGACATGATTTGTGCATGAGTCGGGACTCCGCTGGTCATTCATTATCCAGAGAGAGAGAGAAAAGGAGAAGAAATGAAAGTGAAAATGACAAAGAAAAGACCGAGCCGGGTGTCATCTTGGTTACACGTTTCAAAGCGTGTTCGTTTAAAAGAGGCGCGCATGCTTAAAATGTCAATTCCTTCGATCTAACATGCTTTTCTTGTGTTTAAATTGTGCTGTGCTTTAAAAATCTGTGAACTTGTATTTCCCTCTATCAGCAGAGACGGAGCCATCAGTCAGTGCAGGTCATTTTTCTTCCTCTTTAAAGCCCGTCATGGAAAGTACAAACACCAGATGTATTGATCATTTCTGTTCATAAAAGCAGATTAACTTGTGTTGTATAATTGGGTCAAATTGCATCTTTCAACTGGAGAATAATGCAAACTCAGATTGGGAACTACAGAAAGAGCAAACAGTGTAAAATAACAATTACATTTAAATAATACACACAAACAATAATGCAAATATTATACATAGCACAGAATATGATGATGATGATAATAATCTTATGACCCTATAAGTCACAAGGATATTAGGAAATTGATGGATATGATGACAATAATGCACACATTTCCTAAGAGCAATCAGTGTACATTACAGTGGAAAAAAATTATAATGCAATTGTTTAAATAATATTAATATTCATCATCATCATCATCATTCTTCTGTGAACCTACATACAGTATTAAGTGTTTTGGAAAATGTACAGTAGTAAAAATAATAATAACATTAATGAATAGTAATTAAATTCACACACTTAATCGTTCATTATCCTTCAACTTATACTTTTGTTCACAGCGGAATGAACCGCCAACTTAATCAGCATGTTTTACACAGCTGATGCCCTTCCAGCTACAACCCAGTACTGGGAAACATTAATACACACACACGTACAGTATGGCCAGTTTAGTTTACCTAATTCATCTATAGCACATGTCTTTGGACTGTGGGGGAAACTGGAACACCAGGAGGAAACCCACCCCAACACCGAGAGAACATGCAAACTCCACACAGAAACCCCAACTGACCCAGCAAGGACTAAAAAACAGTGACCTACTCGCTGGGAGGCGACAACACTGAGCCACAGTGTTGCCTAAATTAACACATATTTAATAGTAATAAATGTAAAAATAATAATACCATTTTGAATTATTATTTGAATATAATAATAATTATTATTATTAATTTTATTATTATTATTATTAAATGTTAGATGAACATGTTTTATATTAACAATAATAATATTAAATGTAAAAATAATAATAAAAAACATGTTTTAAACATTTTGAAATATAATTTGAACATAATATTAATGAATATTAATTTGATCAACACATATATAATAATAATAGTAAAATTAAACATAAAATATTAACTAAAACATAATTTGAAGGTTTTTAAATGTTCTCAACATTCTCCATTATAAAATTAAACCAATGTTAAATTTAACATTTGAATTTATTTTTTAAACATTAGTGGCACGTTTATAACTTTAATCTTGTGAACATGAATACCAACATTTAATTATGATCAAACATACGTGTTTTTGTTATGAATATGGTGTTAC